AAGCGGTTAAGTTCTCATTTCCCTCATTTTTCATCTTGAGTGAAAAGTAGGGGTCTCTCACTCTCTTGGAGAACGCCGCTCTAAACGTGGAAGACCAAAAACCTCAATTCTGCATTTCAATGGATTCAGGTACGCTTCCAAAAATTCTTCTCGATGATTTTGCATGTTTTTCGGAGACATCGATGAATTTAATTTTCTGTCTCCATTAAAATCCTACAAAATCTGCCTTTCACAATCCAGAATTCTACTGACAACTTGTGAGATCTCTTCAGTATCTTATTATCACCCAACCGAATAGGGGCGGATCCACCTTAAGCCCAGGAGAGGCAACTGTCCCCCCTAAAAAAAAATTATTTTATGATTCTTTGGATAATTTATTCTCATTCATCTATTTTTTAGTCTTTATTACAAAGATTTTTAGTCAGTTGACCCCCCTAAAAATTCTAAAATACTATGGTCTTTAGGCAAGTGCGCCCAGCATAATTAAACATATTGTGTAGAGGTCGAACCCCGTAACGGGGCACTGCACCCTTGGACCCTCGACATACCAACCCCCCGGTGAAACTTAAGGCTAATTCCGCCCCTGCAACCGAACATATTTTTCATCATCAACAAAGCTTACCAAAATAAGCACAAGCTTCACAATACTCATTATAAGTGGCTCAACCGTCTTCTTAATTCGCCACATTAAAGATACCATTCATTTTGGCTTACACTTTCACAGAGGAAATCTTCATTTTCATGCCTATTTCGACTAGGCTGGAGACTGTTTTTTATCGCAAAACAATTTTAGAGAACTGCACATTTTTTGCCAACAATCTTATCTAATGGCCGTGTGTGAAAAGCGAGCTGCTATGGTTCTTCTTTTACAGTTTTGGTTACTACTGCTAATATTCTTTGGCTATGTCAGCCACTCCAAAAATTCTAGACGGAGCTTTACCATCCTACATAACTCTTTGGTGCTCCCATGCACTTGATAACAATCTAATTTTACATTACTGCCACTTCATTAATTGACTGCATCAAAGCTTACACCCTAAAGGCCTAAACACATAGTAGTATAGCCATACTGCTGCAGTACTGCTACTTGTAGTCAATCTTAGCCATTGGAATATAATTGCCTAATTAAGATTTCATTTGTGATAGCTTCTTCCTAATTGGTTTTCAGACTGAAATCATAAATTTTATTTGGTAACTATTTTTTTAGCAGCATTCAAAATTTTTTTGTCAAATATTCACAATTTTTATTTGGTAACTTTTTTTTTTTTGTGGAATTTAAAAGATACTTGAAGTTTTACATGAAAAATCTTAAAAAAGGAAAAACCAACTGGGCATCGCCCAGTGGAAATAATTCTACTAGTGTTAGTCGTTGATTGCAAATGATGTCTTTCCTTGGGGATAGGTGTCACAAACCAGAATCAAATTTGGAAGAATTATCTATTTATCATTTTAAGAATATAACAAAACTTCTATAAATCATCAATAAAAATAATAAGCAATGAAAGCAACTAAAATTATATACATCAGTATATTTTACTATTTATTCATCCAAAATATCATTTACACTAGCAGAATATCATTCTACAAAAGAATAAAATCTAAAGAAAGCTTGAGGACTTCTGACAATCTTACTTCAACTGGTCATGATCTCTTCCATGGCATGAAATCATTAAAATTCAAATAATAAGCTTAAAAGTCCAACTGTAATCCAAAACTCACTAAAGTTTTTAATGTAAAGATTAAAAGATTTAATATGATATACTCAGCCTAATATAATCAATAGCAGTCAATATAATTAATGACAAAATATTATCAATAAAACTCAAAATTATCAATTATAAAAATAAGGAATCAGTGCAATGAATCTAAAAAATTAATATTTTTTCTAAAATTCAATAAATCACTAAATAAATCTATCTTATATATGCATATGCATCATATATTTATGCATTATCAATGCATTCAATATTATCAATAAAATTAATATATCTGACAATATCATCAGTGTTATTAATGTATACATGCATCAATACATGATTTACAAGACAGTACATCCATCTTTAACATGGTGTTTTCAACATATTTATTCCAACTGATTTTCAGTTTGTCATTAGTCATATCAATTATCACTTATCAAATTAATCAATTATCATTACAGGTGGCTTCATTAAATCAATAAAGAGTTGTCACTCTCTATCCATCAGTGTAATCGATCATCTATTACATACTACAATCGTGATAACACCATAAATAATCTTTAAAGGAAAGTCTGTCGGTCCACCCTCATGCACGTACAAGATATTATATTTTAACAGTAAATTAATTTTATAGTGTTAACAGCTAGCCTTTCTTGCTTATATAAATTCCACAATCAAAATGCAGTAGGAAATAATCAATTTTATTAAATACAAAAAAAAATATATGATAATCAAAATTATTGAAAACTAAAATAAGATTTGAGTACTTACAACAAAGAGAATAAATCTATAAACAAAACTGACATATGAAAAAACCTCGAACAGCATTCTTTGATCTCTTCCCTCTCTCTTCTTCGATAAGGCATGAGGCTTAAATTCAAATTTTGCATTTAAAAAAAATCATTTCAAGATTATTATAATAGGCATTGACACAAGTAAATATACATCACATAGAACAAGTTACATAGTTGAATCCAATGACATGAGAGATACTCTTAATAGATCCTTGGCATGTTTGTATGGTTTGCAGGATCGTAATTGGGCAACAATGATTGGAGGGACTGTAGTTCAGCAAAGGTGGTAAGAGAGACTGTAATTTCATGATCGATGTAGAAGGAATCGTAGTTGGGTGATTGAGGTTAGAGGGATCGTAGTCGGGAAACTAAGGTAGGAGGGACTGTAGTTGGGTAATGATGGTCAGAGAGATCATAATAGAGCGCAGAGGTCGAAGGGACCATAATTGAACGACGAAGGTCTGAGTGACTTTAGTCAGGTGATAAGTGTTAAGAGGGACCATAGTCGGACAATGATTGTCATATGGACTATAGTCTAGTGTCGTTAATTAGAGAGACTGTATTCTAGCAACGATGATCGGAGGGATCATAGTCAATCAATGACAGAGATCAAGACTATACTAAGATTATTGGGGTTAAAGAATCATAGTTTGGTAATGGTGGTATAAGGGACCATAGTTGGTGAGTAATAGATGTCGAAAGGACCTTAATCAGACGATTGAGGTTGAATGATCATAGTTGGGTGATGGTGGTGGAAGGGATAATAATCAAATGACGAGGGTTGGCAGGACCATACACAGTGGGTGATAGAGGTCAGAAGAATCATGGTCGGATGACTGAGGTTGATGAACCGTAGTCAAGTGAAGGTGGTCGAAGGGACCATAATCGGACAACTAAGGATTGAGGGATCATAGTAGAGAGACGGTGGTATAAGCGACCGTAGTTGATTGTGTGGCTAATACTTGATGACAACGGTCAGTTGATGATGTGGCAGCAAAGGTTGGTAGGCAAATGTCCGACAGTAGTGGCCAGACAAAGGTCTAGCAGGGGCAGCCAGACTGAGGTACATCAACAATGGTTCGAGGAGATCCGGAGGCTAGGGTTAGGTATAGGTCCTGCACCAACAGTCAGGCTAAGGTTCGATAACGAAGGTTGGATGGACATTCGACAACGACCAACTAATGGAAGTCTGCCATTATACGATAAGGGTTCTTCGGGGGGTGTGGAGCTTCGGGATTCTTCAAGCCTTAGAGTTAGGGGTGTAAATGAGTCAACTCGAGTCGAGTATATGTTTAATTGAGCTAAGCTTGTTTGGTTCTTGCTAAGCTTGAGATCGAATCAAGCCTGTTTACTAAGCTCGAGCTCTTTAAAAAATGTATAGTCTTGATTGCTCGAGCACATTTAGAAAGTTCAGGCTTGGCTCAATTATTGAGCTTGAATTCTTTGTTTTATTATTTTAACATAAAATTAATTTAAAAAATATTAAAATATATTTTGTGATGACAAATTAAATTTATTTTTAAATATATTTTAAGCTAATTGAGCGGCTCAACAAGCTTGTGAGCCGAGCTAGGCTAAGCCCAAGCTCAAGTTCAAACTTATTAAGCTTACTCATGAACTCATTAACTAGTTGAGTTCAAGCTGGCTCAACTCACATACACCTCTACTTAGAGCTCTTTCCATCTCTAACCCATTTGGGAAGTGGGGCCTATTTATTAATTTTTTGGGTATGGCATGCTTTGTAAATATGAAAAAATTCAGTGCAAATTTGATGTATTCCGTCAAATGATTCAAATTAATTCCTCCAATTATGAAGTATTTCCCTAGCATTTAAGGGCCTTAATGATATTAAAATTAAATGATCTTGGCTCGTTGAATTTCGTCTCGTTGGGTCACTCGATTCGAATATACTCATGTCATACTTAGAGATTATTTTAATCATCCCGTTAATGTCTTTAGATTTTCATACACTCTTCAAGCCCTTGATTTGACCTTATTGGGAGTGGGATTGGACTATTATTTATGTGGTTGAGTTGGCCTTGGCAAAGAAAAATTATTACATCCGGTGAAAAATACCGAGCATACCGAGTGTACCGAGTGCGCTGTACCGAGCACGGTACTGAGCACTTTAGTGACGTGACGTTTTGTTATTAGTTTCCGGATGCATTCGGTAACATGACGGAATAATTACTCCTTGCCAAAACACTTAGTTTGACTCTAATTGTGAATTTGTGCTGACATCAGAGTTTGTATCGTTTTAAATTTAATTTTAAAAAGTTTTAATTTAAATATAATTCCAGATTTGTGCCCATCAAAATATTTTTGGCGATATATCAAAGACAATTTTTTTTTAAAACTCTCTAAGTTTTTAAACCAACCCTTGCATTTTACCGACACGGAAGCCGACACGTTGTCGTGACCTGTTTCTTCCTTACAAGTAAGCAAAATAAATATATAAATAAAAATTAAAATTAACGTAAAAAAGAATTTAAACATATTTTTTTAATTCACAAAAAGAATTTCGCTGCCCTATCCCTCTCTCAAGCTCTTTCATCGATCTCGATCTCACCGTCGACGCCGATCTACATGGAGGCCGCTGCCGGCGGAGGAACGTTGTCGGAACTCTATCAGAACGCGCGGCGGCTTCTCCTCCGGACGAGGGATACTTTGGAAAAGCTTGAGCGGCTAGACTCTTCTTCGTTCTCCTCCTCTTCCTCCACATATTCCTCATCGCTGCCGTCTTACGCATCGGCGGCCGGTGCTGGGCTGGATCCGGCGGATCTATCCTTTTCAATCAAGCGGGATGTCACCCAAATACAATCCCTCTGCGCCGAGATGGACCGTCTCTCGCGCTCTATTGGCGCCAAGGGCCAACGCGATCTCTGGAAAAGGTAATGTGGCGCCTCAATCTCGCTTTGGTACTTTGTTTTTGAAGTTCTAATTGTTGTTTTTGCTTGATTGGATTTTGTATTTACATTTGTCGAGAGATATAGCTTAAGGGTCAGGAAAGGTCGAAGTCTCCGTGATTGTCTGAGGTCTGTTTCAGATTAAACTGACTGCAGAAAGATGTCACGCGCACAGCCCCAATATTGATTCTGAGCCTTGTAAATGAAAACGGAGAATGACTTTCATAATTTTCTGTTCTCATAGGTGAAATGCTTATTGTGGCGAGAGCCTGAGAGCATTGCTGACTGTTGCAGATTGGCTTTGATTTATTTTGGTGAAAGTGTGGTATAATAAAGAAACGAAACACTAGTATTTAGCTGTAAAGAATGCCATTTAAAGAAAATTGAGTGAAGAATTGAATATCAACTTCGTCAAGTAAGATGAATAATTATGATTTAATCCGTACTGAGTACTGCTGGGTAATCTTAATTCGCTTCATTTTGTTGAATCCTTTTCACTGCTTAACGTTTGCATCACGGCATTTGACCTTTTCCCCATTATTCTTAGTTAAGCACCATTCAAAATAATTAACATTACCTATAAATCCCAGCTATTATATGTATGCTATGCATGCTTTCGTCAAACTAGGCATTTATTTTTCTAAAGTTATCTTATATGAGTTCTTTAGAAGTTTTAAATCAATGAAGGTTTGACTTGGGTTGTATGCGTCTCATGACAATGTAGCATTTTGGGGAGAGTATCATGTACATCGTATTATCCTTGAATTGCCCTCAGAATAGTTGCATATGCATATACTTTAAGGTTTTAAATGGATGGTGATTAACTAGTTCATATCTCAAATTCCTAGAAAATGTATCTATTAAATGAGTAGATACAATTAGTGTTAAAGGATTACAAAGGAGAAGAATGCAACAAGGTTAACATGGGAATAAGCTGTTCAAGCGAAGCGGATTTGCAAAGAATAAGTCAGACGCCAATTGTAAAACTCAATACAAAAGAATGTAAAATAAGGATTCATAAAGCTTACCATTACTATTTAGCCAATTGGAACAATACTAATATGATTATACAACAACAACAACATCAAGCCTTTGTCCCACTACGTAGGGTCGGTTAACACAATTTTTTAAAAGATTCATGTCATGATTATTCGACAAGTTTTACGTTGGTTGTCAACTACCTAATGCAAACCTCCACTTTTCTCATCCAGGACTTAGGACCTAGCAACGGTAGTGTTATGCACTTTCAAATTATGATTAGTATAGATGCACTTTCAAGTTTTATCATAATGTTCTCTATGTTTATTTAGAAACATGTTCCCTTTCTATTATTTGTCCAATTTTCCACATCATGTTTAATTTTTATGTTTCTATCCATGTTTGAATTGAAGCTCCTTGGACTTGGTGTACTTATTGATTTTAGCAGCCATTGGATGGCAGCATAAAAATCGTTAAAAATTTATTTAAGGAATTTAAAATTGTTAATGACCTATATGTCTAATCTATTGTAATACATGATTGAACCTAAGTTACCAATTATTGGTAATCTGCTTTTTATTTGTGAAATTGAGGCAGCAGTAGTTTATGTTGACTTTAGATTCACACTGTTTTCCGTATTCTTCTTTTTTCCCAAGGAGTAACTCATTGCTTCCCTCCAAGTTCAAATAATTCAAGTTAGTGGTTTTGATATAAATGTATAACTTATGAGAAAATCTTCCTCTATCTCATGTCATTCTTTCTATTTTCTTGGCCACCTAGCATCTCAATGTAACACTTAAAATGATCTTTTATTATTTGTGACTACCCTGCTCAGAAATTGTTAGTGATTTTTCTCATGAGATGTTTAATTTAGTGAAAATCAATGGTTTCAGCATATTGAATTACTTAGCATGATGTCATTAGTTGCTATCTCCCCATTATAGTGCACAATGGCTTAATTTGGAAAAGGTGCTCCTTTCCTAATCCTTATAAGAAAAGAAGCTCCTATAAATATATAATTTATAAAGGGGATTAATCATGTCTTTAATGTGCGACTTTACAAATCACTCATTAAATGGCTAATTTTCCCATACATTTTTTTCAATTAATTTTTTGCATTTCTTTCTTATCAGCTTGAGCATTTTGGCTCGACAGTCTAAAATGTATCATGAATATATTTATATGAAGTTAGCTGTAGTTGATTTTTTGGCCTTTTAGTTTTCATAAAAAATCCTTATGTTTTGGCTTAAATATTTTACATTACCGTTGAAAAGAGGATACATATCAAGCCAACTTCACGGCTTTAAGTGAAATTTACTTATAGGATGCAATATAACTTTTAGTAGGCGCATTAAGGGAGACTGCCAACTCGATTGAATAATTAAATCACTTTCTACAATAACACTGCAACAACACTTCAATGTAATTAATTTACTTTCTAAGTTAAAAATAATGGATGTTGTGGTTTTCACAACCCCCCATGGGATTCTATAATCATCATGATGTCAAAATTTATTGCACTTAATTACTAAGTTGTATAGCAGGCTCAAATTGATGATCTCATTCCCTTTTGTTGATAGCATCTCTTCAAACAATCATTACCTGGATTAAGGTATGGATGAGGAAAAAGAATTACTATGATACATGAAGAAGATTGTAGGAAGGAATTATTGCGTCGCTCTTTGCATCATCGCTAAAAGAGTAGTAGCGCTGATAATGCCAAATTTTACGACAAAAATTAAAGTCTAATGTTGTATGGGTATTTTTATAGTAATTTTGCCCCAGTCGTCTTTACTTCTAATAATAAATTGTGATCTTATTTATATTATTGAGCCAAAATCTTCATCCCGATAAACAAGAAATTGGAAAATTTAATTAAGAATATGAGGGTGAAATCACTCCTTCGGCTCTAAAAGGCCTTTTTCTGAAGTTGCCTATTAAAAATGATGATTTTGGTCCCTTCACTTTTGAGCTCAGTTTCTTCAAAGGATTAGGAAAAAAGTTCCTTTTGAAAATTTCTCTGGTGTCCAGCCTTTACATTCAAACGTTACTGTATAACTACAATAACTATGTTGAGTCCCCTTTTTAAGGAGTGTTCAACTTTTCATGCCAATGCAGAAAAGTAGAACAGGTAGCGGCAGAGGCTGACTCACTTAGAGAAAGCCTGGACAAGCATGCACTGCGGCAGCAAAAAAAGGTTCAGGAGGCTAAAGAGCGAGCAGACTTATTAGGAAGAGCGGTAAAGAAGCTTTATTTAAATTTAAATCACATTTCTTTTTTATTTCTACGGCTAGGATATCTTATATGTTAGATAGTGATAAGAAGATGTTAATTTGCCATGTTTAAGTAATGAGAGTATTTGTAGAATGGCGACTCAGAACATATTCTGAGGATTTTTGATGAAGAAGCTCAAGCAATGCAATCAGCTCGCAATTCTCACATGATGCTAGAAGAAGCATATGCCACTGGAGTAGCTGTCCTTTCAAAATATGCTGATCAGAGAGACCGCCTAAAGGTAAGCTTTATTGCATAATTTGTCTTTATGCCATAATTTTGCTTGCAGGATCTATTGTTAACAAAATTAGACCAGGTTTGGTCAGATTTTTAGGAAGTTGATGATTTGAAATTTTGATTGATCCACCAACATTGTGTTTAGTGTATTCTGCAGATATTTACTAAAGAATATGCTATAAAGCAAATTTGGCCTATTAAATTTGTATTAGAAAGGTTTAAGAAATCGGGTTGTGTAAAAAATAATTTCAAATTTTGTTAAGCAATATCCTTGAAATCAATCACCTTGCCTTACCTGATTTTACAAAATTATTTTACGTAGCTACTGAAACATTTAATTCTATCAAAATTACTTGTATATATAGCTGTAATAATTTAATAAATAAAAAAATTACCGTTTTATCCTCCCAAGATTAACCCAGAAAATAATTTTCATTGATAAGCTGTTTGTGGAATTTACAAAATGTGGCATTGCTGCTAAGATCATTGTAGAGGTTGATCTAGACCCTACATGGGGCCGTGAAGTCGAGCCGTTCCAACATGATGGTCAGTTCCTTTATAAAGATGAGTTTCTGTAGCATTGGGCTGTGTTGGATGCATCATACTCAATCCAGGTGCTTCTTTGGCAGCAACAAGCTCCACTGCAACTTGCTCTTCTTTGAAAGACCCCAGAACAGCATGTTCTGATCATGATAGGCCTGTGACGAGTCTGCTTTAGCTTAGTAAGGGTGCACAATCCAAGGGAGAGGTAGAAAGAAGGGTACACAACCCAAAGAAGAAGAGGGGAGGGAGCCTCAAGCAGCCAAGGAGGGAAGGAGACTCTTTGTATGCAAGTGATTTCTATTTCACTTTAATTGATTCTCATAAAATCGTAAGGTACACTTTAGATAGAAATAGGGTCCTTAATACACATCTGAAATGCTTAGGACTAAAAAGGAATTACAAAGTGTTTTCTTGTTACATAACCATAAACATGGAACATATTTTAAACATGCTTAATGATATGTCGGTTCCCCAGGAACCGACTCAACCTCAGCCGGCCCAAAGGAGGCAGGTCAAACTGCCTCCTTCCTACACCGCCTAAGGGAGGGGCCCACGCCCAATTTGTTTGGATTTAATTAATTAAAAAAGATTTGATATCTTTTGTATTAAATAATAATATCTTATATTAGGAAAGTTGATTTAATTAATTAAAAAGATTTGATATCTTTTGAATTAATTAAATACTATCTTATATTAGGAAGTTTTTAACGAGGGTGGAGAGGGCTATTTAAAGGGCATGAAGGGGTCAGGGCTAGGCATGCTTTGGTTATTGTTTCTTGTAGTCTCGTTGGCGTTTTGGGCTCTAGACTCTTGTCTAGAGATTTGGGAGAGACGATCCTCCTCTCGAATAGAGGATCAATTGTATCTTTTCTTCTAGCTTATTTTGCTTTGAGTATTTAATCAAGTTCTATTATTTTCTTGGTTGTTTCATCTCCGATCTTGGGTGTTCTCGCTGTTTTTACCAATTTCGCATTAGGGTTGCTTGCGAACTCAAGTAGATCCGATAGGATTACTTGAGAAATCAAGTATTTCCTATCAAATTGGTATCAGAGCAAGTCGTGGGACCGGTGGAGGGCTGATTTCGGCAAATTTCAGCGGTGAATAGTTTCCCGGAAGAAAAGGGGATTGCTGTTTTTGGAGTTTCAAATCCATAATTTGTGAGTTTACAAACTCTGGATTACGATGGCGGCCAAAAAGGTGGATGCTCTGGAGGAAAGACTTGAAGGGGAGATGAATCAAATTAAAATGACGGTGGAGGAAAGGATTTCCTCCCTAGGAAAGGATTTCCTCCATGGAAGGACAAGTCGTCGATCTCCGAGACATGATGAAGAAGATGTTAGAGATTCAAAACCAAACGACGGCGTCCGTGGAAAAAGGAGGGGAAGGAAAAAGTCCGAATGCAGAAATTCTTAGGGAGGAAGATGAGGTAGAAATCATGAAAGGAGAAAGAAGAAGACCCCATCTGGAGCCTGTCCAGAGGGATGAAAGAGGGGGTGGATATGAGGAACGCCATGAGGGATACTATGGTCGCTGAGGTGCTGATTTTGAAGACATAAGGGGGGATTTCGAAGGTGGTTTGGGCTATGGCAGAGCAAGGGAAGACCGGGAAACATGGGGTGCACCTAACACTTGGGACAGGGGAAACTATGGAAGATTTCGGGGCAATGGGGGCGACCAGAATGTGAGGAAGTTGAAGATGCCCATATTCGAAGGAGAAGATGTGTATAGGTGGATTTACAAGGTGGAGCGATATTTTGCCGTCAATGGGTTAACGGATGAGGAGAAGCTGATCGCAGCAGGATTGTGCTTGGAAGGTATCAGTGGAGAGATCAGAGAATGCCTATCAGGAACTTGAGGGAATTCAAAAACTGCATAATAGAACGCTTCCAAACCAACCGGGGAGGAGATTTTTATGACCAGTTCTTTGCTCTGACGCAAGAGGGATCGGTAGCAGACTAGCGGGAGCAGTTTGAGCACCTAGCTAGTAGGGTGGAGCGACTCTCAGATACAGTATTGGAGGAAAATTTCATGAAAGGGTTGAAGGAGGAGATTCGAGCAGCAGTGAAGGTTTTGATGCCCCGTGACTTGGGGGAGGCCATGAAGTTGACCCAACTAGTGGAAAATCAGAGGAATTTGGAGAGGGGAGCCAAGAGTAGCAACATCGGGAGCACTTATAGGATGAGGACCACTCATCTAGCACCTAAAGGTCCTGCAACAGGAGGGAGTCGAGAGGCCACCAAGGAGAAGACAGGAGGAGGAAGCGGGGGAAATTTCAAGCGGCTGATGGAGTTAGAGATGCAGGAGAAGAGGGCTAAGGGGTTGTGCTTCAAGTGCGATGAAAAGTACATGCCAGGGCATCGATGCAAGGACCAAACTCTTCAGGTTCTCACCATCTGTGATGACGAGAAAACTGAGGAGGGAGGTGATGGGGAGACAGAGGAGGAGATAGAGGAGAAGCCACACTTGGATATGGTTGAGGTTTCCCTGAACTCAGTGGTAGGGTTCACTACGAATCACACCATGAAGGTGAAGGGAGAGATAGAGGACAGGGAGGTTGTGGTGCTGATTGATAGTGGGGCTACTCACAATTTCATTTTCACCCAGGTCGTCGACCAACTGGGAGTGAGATTGGTGGACACTGGTTGTTACAAAGTAATGATGGGTACAGGGAAGGTGGAGAAAGGCAAGGGGATTTGCAGAGGAGTGCTACTGACGATCCATGGGATACAGGTGAGGGAAGACTTTCTTCCACTAGAGCTTGGGAGCACAGATGTCATTCTGGGGATGAAATTACTGCAAACTTTGGGAGACACCAAAGTGAATTGGGGAGCTCTCACGATGGAGTTGACGGTGGATGGAAGGAAGGTAGTGATTAAGGGAGATGTGGGGCTTTCTAAATCCCTGGTTTCTCTTAAAACAATGGTGAGGGACATCCAATTGGCAGGCGGAGGGTATTTGGTGGAGTTGCATAGTTTGGAGGGAGCAAGATTAGATGAGGGAGGAGACATACCCCTCTCCATTCAACCATTGATTTAGCAGTTCCAAGAGGTGTTTCAGCCACCTCAAGGATTGCCACCGTAGAGGGAGTAGGAGCATGCCCAAGTGTTCAAGGAGGGAGTGTCACCCATCAGTGTTCGGCCTTATCGTTACCCTCAGTTCCAAAAGGATGAAATAAAAAGGTTGATTAGAGAGATGTTGGAGGCAGAGATCATCATACCCTAACATCAGTCCTTTTTCTAGCCCCCTTCTATTGGTGAAAAAGAAGGATGGCAGCTGGCGTTTTTGTGTGAACTACAGAACAGTTAACAAGAAAACTGTACCTGACAAGTTTCCTATATCAGTCATTGACGAGCTGCTAGATGAATTGAGTGGGACCGTGATCTTCAGCAAGATAGACTTGAAATCGGGTTACCATCATATCCGAATGAAGGAGGATGTACCCAAGACAACTTTTAGAACTCATGAAGGACATTATGTGTTCCTAGTGATGCCCTTTGGCCTCACTAATGCTCCCGCTACTTTCCAGACCCTTATAAATAAGGTTTTCAAACCTTATCTCAGACGATTTGTATTGGTATTCTTTGACAACATCCTGGTCTATAGCAGGACAGAAGAGGAGCACTGGGAGCATTTGAAGAGGGTGTTAGAAGTACTGCAGGAGTACCAGATGAGGGCTAATTTGAAGAAATGCTGCTTTGCACAAGCCAGTGTAAAGTACTTGGGCCATGTGATATTAAAAGGAGTGGCAGCAGATCAGTCCAAAATTGAAGTAATGCTAAAGTGGCCAGTGCCGAAAAATTTGAAGGAGTTGAGAGGATTCATAGGACTGACGGGTTACTATAGGAGGTTCGTTAAGGGGTACAGCTCCATAGCATGGTCACTCACTGAACAGTTGAAGAAGGATGGATTCTTATGGGGGGAAGCGGCGACATCAACATTTGAGAGCTTGAAGAAGGCGATGACTACAATGTTGGTCCTAGCCTTGACAGATTTCACTCAGACCTTCATTGTGGAGACAGATGCTTCTAGGTACGGACTGGGTGCAGTACTGATGCAGAGTCATAGACCCATTGCCTATTTCAGCCAGGTATTGACTACTAGAGCCCGGCTTAAATCAGTTTATGAGAGAGAATTAATGACCATTGTTTTGGCCATCCAGAAGTAGTGGCCCTACCTGCTTGGGAGGCATTTCATTGTCAGGATTGATCAGCGAAGCTTGAAATACCTGCTGGAACAGCGGATGGTGACGAAAGAGTATCAAAGGTGGTTGTCTAAGTTGCTAGGATACGATTTTGAAATTCAGTATAGACCAGGAGGGGAGAACAAGGTGGCAGACGCTTTGTCCACATGTATGGGGGAGCTGCAGACGGTGGCACTATCCATTTCTTTGATGCTTGACTGGGAGGCCATCAGGGAAGAAAGTGCTAGGAATGAAGAATTGGGAAAGATCATATCAGAATT